ACGGCCCCTCCGTTATAGGACATAATAGACTGCGGTAGACAGAGCGGAGGGGCTCAGCGCCAGGGGCCAAACGCGGCCAGAGCCCCCGGCGCGGCCCCTGATCCCGAGGCTCCTGTACGCACCGTCCTCCACTCTGGAGGCAGCTGCACACCCCGAACTCCAGCTCTGACAGGAGCGCTGTGCAGCTGCGGGGAGCCGCCTTCAAGCCCTTGGTCCTCACGGTGGTCAGCTTCCCTTCAAACTGCAAACGACCACCAGGCCCTCTCTGCTTCCCAAACCGCCCATGCCGCCCTCCCCGTTCCTCAATCCCTGCCCCGCGTCCCTCCTCCTCGCTCCCCATCTCACCATGACGGCGGTGTTGTGAGACCTCCAACCACCACAATTCCAGGCAACCGGCTACAGCCCTCCCAGCGCAGCCACTCTTGCTGCCTTTTCGGTGCGCGCCGAAAGGCCGACCCTTCCGGGACACTTTGACTTCCTATTGGCTGTACCCTCTGTCAATCATCAGCACGGGAGTTTGGTTGAGAAGCCAAAACCGAGAATGGGACGGCGGAAAGTGAAAAGTCACGGTGAGTGCGGAAGGGCCTGGCGCCGCGGTGCGAGCCGGGATCGCGGCGGGCCCGGACTCCAGACGCCAAATCCCGGGGCGGGGACCTGTGGCACGTGGGCTGGCGAAGCCCGAAATAGGGGCCGCGGTCCCAGCTAAAGGGCTATGCTGTTGCTTATGAACGTGTGCGTCGGGCGTATTACTCATGTTAGCTTGTTTCATTTATTCACTCCAGAAATCCTTACATGTCTTTTGTGCCAGGTACTATATACTAGGCTCTGGACATTGACTGGCCTAGAACGGTGCCTGGTATTTAGGAGGTGCGCATTCAGACATATTTAATGTTTCGAGGAGGAGGAGCAGGGGAGGGCGTTGCGGGTGTACTGCGGGGCGGCAGGGGTTCAGCTGCAAAGGGGAGGTTTGGAGACCAAAGGTTGTTACGCTTTGGTGGACTCTCAGGAGGTCGACTTCATGTATCCCCAAGACTCAGGTCACCCTAAAAAAAGGACGTTTCGGGTTTCCCCATCTTATCTTCTTCTAAGAGAGATCCAGAGGAAGCCGGAGACTTCCTCTCCCAGAACCAGTGGATAAGACATGAAGGTCCCCCCTCCTCCCCTCCCTCGATCGGGACCCTTTGCTTTCTCCCCAGAGTCTGACTTCTTTCGCCTGACTGCAAGATTTCCGTTGCATGCCTGCGCCGTCGTAGGATCCCTCCCGTTGACTCGGCTCGCCGCCACGCTGGCAGCTGTCGCAGTCTCTGTGGCGCAATCGGTTAGCGCGTTCGGCTGTTAACCGAAAGGTTGGTGGTTCGAGCCCACCCAGGGACGCAATCCTTTTCTTTTCCTCCTTTTCTGTTACAAGGAAAACCTAAGCGTTATTCTCTCAACCTCTAAAATGCCAAATTTCGTTTTGAAATGGCAGAGATACTTTCTCTATAGCAAATCAGAGGATCATTATAATTGAAAATTCGTTGTTGTTCAGTCAATGATGGGATAATTTCTCCAGCACTTTCCTCCACCGCCTACCTCCTACCCCACCCCCAGGTTGGATTTCAGGAACGGCGAAGACAGAGGTTTTTGTCTCACTGTGCAATACGTTTCAGGTTGCATTTTTCGTAGGATTAAGAATGAATTTACAGTGGAGGTTGGACAGTTTTCCATTGTCTGACTCAATCGATGTTACAGTCTCGAAATACTACGTTTGGAAGGGAAGAAAGTAGCGCGAGAGACAAAGGCAGGGAGAAGCTGTGGGATGAAGCAAAAGGTGAAAAGGGGAAAACATAGCTATAATATACAGAGATGGAAAAGGGACACTACAGAGAAATAGGGCAGGGTGAGTGGAAGGAAGACTCCAAGAAAATGGAGGGAAAAGAGATGCAGTTAATATGAGAAGATTCTGAAAAAGGAAAACAAAAACAAAACTATTTTTAATTAGACGTACACACAGAGAAGTGGGGCCGACGGTGGAGAAATAGAAACAGAAACCGACAAACAACATTGTCTTGGGGAGAGAGGAGTGAAGGACATAGGTAAAGACTAAAAAAAAAAATCACTATAGGAACTGCCCGCTCCTACCATTATCATCATCTTCAAGGGGATCTTCCCTTCGCAGTAGCTCTTGGCATGTGCCAGAAATAGTTGATTAGATTTCCCGGGTTCCTGCCCTCTGGAAGCTTCTGGTCTGTGACAGACACAGTGATTCTTCGGCTAGAGGACCCTATGAGATACTACAACTAGCAGAGAATGCAGGGGAAGCATTTGTATCTAATGCAGCCAGGGGCACGTCCCAGGACCAGGAGCTAAGCAAAGGACTCTCGGGCAGTTCCCTTCAATATCTGGCTTCTCCTAAAGATTGGGCTTAAAGGACGCCTCTCCTGAAAACCTTCCCCAGGGCTCACCGCCCCCCGCCCCCGCCCCTTACCAGGCGCTCATGGGGCTGGTGGGGACAAACCAGAGGGATACACAGTGCCATGGAAGCTAACGGGACAGGCTAGGTAGCCCCACTGGCCTGTGAGCTCCTTGTAGGCAAAAATCCGGCTCATCAGCTTTAGGTCCCTGGTGCCTAGCGCAGTATTTGACATTGGTACAGGACAGGTGCTTTTTTGCAGGGAAACCAAAGAACTTCAGATGTGAGAAAGGCTGGGTCTTAGAAGGTTCTGATAAGGCAGAAAGGCCAGGGATGTGGGGACTGGTGGCCCAGGACGGAAATGATTAAAATGAAGTTTTAGTGGGTAGTGGGGTCTTCATCCCTCTGTCTTGTAGTTTGCTAGTGACTGGCGCTAATAACTGAGGAACAAGTGAATGGATGCCCATTCAGCACGGTGGGCCCCCTCGCTGCAACACTCCAGGATAAAGGACCGAAGTGGGGACTCATCAGCCCTCTTCCAGGTAGCTGATACCCGCCCCCCACACCCTGGGTGCCCATGTGGATCGTGTGTGACGGAGATCTATGGGAAGCCCCTACAGTTTTGCCTTGCCCCGGGATCGTCTAGCTGGACAGGAGTGACAGACCAGGAGTCCCTGCCGCGCTGCCCTCCCCGCAGTGCAATTGGGGGACAGTAGAGGATGCACGAGTCTTCCCTCGCAGAGTTGGGGATGCTGGCGACACACTTGCCCTAGGGACAGAGGGTGTGTCCACCCCAAAAGCCCCCTTTCCAAGAGGGGTGGTGAAATCCCAGTCTTCGCGTGCAAGGACAGGGGAGTAGGTGACCGGGTCCTCTCCCGGACCTTCTCCCGCGGGTTCTCAGACCACCCTCTCTGGGAGGAAATCTCTCCCGCCCATCCTCTTCCTCCCCGCCCCCATTCGGCCGGTGCGGGCTGAAGGCTGAAGCTGGGGTCACTTGGCGGCCAGCGTCCGCAGGTCTCCTGGTCGCTGGCCAAAAAGGGTGAAAGCATTCAGTCCGGGGGGCCCAGCTTCGACTCTGCCTGAGCTGCGAGCGCGGAGGGAAGAGGAGGAGGCAGGCACTCCGAAGCTTGCGGAAGATTTGTCTCCTAATTTCCTAACTCGAGCCACCCACCGCCAGTGCGCTTAATGGCCCGTCTGGCCGGATAATGGAGCTCTCTGGAGGGACAAACCCAGTGACCATCTCTAATAAATCTTGAATAGCGAATAAGCGAATCGACCGTCCTAATGAAGCAGGGCCCAGGTCGTCGCCGTAACGTAGTATCGATTGGCCTCCCCGGCGCCAGCCTCGGCCGCTCCTCCCCGCCTTTCCAAGCCTCCCTCCTCGTTTTCCCCTCCCGGCGGGAGCCACTGGGGACCGGAGCCGGAGCGCTGGGAGGAGCCGGGAGCGACGGTCGGAGGCGGACTGGCACCAGCCGCCTTTGCGCTCGCCGGGCTCCTCCCGCCGCCCGGGCGAGGGAGGCGCACCAACCGCGCAGAGCTCCAAGCGCGATCGGCGCCCCGGAGAAAAATGCGGGAAGCAGCGCAAGGCAGGAGAAAAAGCGCGGGCCCACTTTCGAGCCCCGGCGCCTGGTTTTCTAGTCCAGTCGGGCCTCTCGCATTCGACCGGGTTATTGTGTCCCAGACCCGGAGCCTGAGTCCGCGTCTTCAGCCTGTCCCCCGGCCCAGGTTGCGTTCCATTCTTCTCTGCGCGAGCACGCGGGGGGCGCCAGCCTCCACCCCGGCAAACCGACCCCCGCCCGCAGGCTACCCCCAGGCCTCTCCTCCGAGGCGCCTCCACTGGATCCCGGGGGTCTGCCTTTTAGAGCCGGTGATCGGGCCGCTGAGCGGGGCCAGGGGGGTGGGGAGGACACGCTCTCTCCCACGATTGCAGTTAGTGATTTTAAGGGAGTGTCACTTAGAGTGAATGAAAATACCCTGGACGCGTGGCCGGAGGCGGCGCGTCCCCGGCCCGAGCCCATCGCCCCTCGGCCGAGGCCGTGGCGGGTAGGACTGCAGAACGAACCACATTTCAGCCCAGTCCTCATTTCACCATTTTCCAGGCGCCCCAGCTTAGAGGCGGGGATCGCAGGGTCGGGGGTGGGGGGCGCACACATTTTGGCGGGGGAGGGTTAATTGAGGAGGTTAACACAGAAGAGGATACATCTTCCAGGGTGAGGGGCTGTTTGGGAAGAGTGAGGTCGTGTCCCAGTTTAGGGGGCCCGGCACCCAGTGTGGGGGCAGCCGCGTTAGGCTCTCCCCCTCCTCCTCTTCCCCTCTCCGCAAACACCCTGAAGGAATGAGGTCACGTGGGTGAGTAGTGGGCGGGACCTACTCTTGTCTGGAGGAAAAAAGCCATTTTGTACCCCCCCAAGCCCCGGTCCCTCCCCTCCCCCCTCCGTCCCCTCCCCTCCCCTCTCTCCCTCCCACCCCAAGCCGCTTTCACAAACTCCCCCCCTCCCCCCCCCCCCCGGTCCCTCCCCTCCCCCCTCCGTCCCCTCCCCTCCCCTCTCTCCCTCCCACCCCAAGCCGCTTTCACAAACTCCTTTCTTACCGTAGGTTTCTCCCCTCCCGCCGCCGGAGCGAGCGACACGGCTGCGGCCCCCCTCCCCTCCCTTCCCTCCCTCCCTCCCATCCCCCCCTCCCCGAGACCCACCGGACCCCGAACCCAGGTAAGTGGAGGCAGACTCCCGGTCCTTTCCTTCTCCTACCCCGCAACCAGAATGGGGATGGGGGGGCCGGTCCATCCCTCTCTACACACCCCTGTGGGAGGGGGAGACTCGGAGCCGGGCCTGCTTCTCGCGTCCCCGCCCCACCCCGCCAGCCCCTATCCTAGCTCGCCCCGTCCGCCTTTCTTTCTCCCTTTTCTCTCCCCTTTTCCCTTTCCTCCCTTCCAAGATGGCCGAAATGGATTCCCCCTTTTAGCGATTTGGCGTCTCCCTCGACCACCACCTCTTTGTGCCGCAGCCCCCTCGCAGACCTGCTCCCGAGGTAGCGAGGGGGAGGGTCCCAGGCAGCCACAGGGGCTGTGGGCTACGCGCCGGGCCGGATCTCTGCCCCCTTAGCCCGCCCCACGAGCCAGAGCGGCCCCTGGCCCTGCCCCACTACCCTCTTCGGTTTGGGGAGGGGTCGCTCTCTGCTTCTTCCGTGGGCACTGGGGCGTCGTGGACGCGCAAGGACTTGAGGCTGGGAGCCAGGCGACACGACTTTCTGATTGCTGCGGGGTCGGGGGAGGGCGCTCCTCCTTGCCCGCGTCCCCGGCCTCCCGGGCACCTCCCCCCAGCGGGTCCCTTCCCCCCTACCCCCCCCGCCCCAGGACTGGGCGCCCCGCCCCCTCCCCGAACCACCTCGGCAGAGCCTCTTTCTCTGGAACACCCCCTCCTTGGGCCCCGCCGAAAGTTTGACTCTAGGGAAGGTAGGAGCGGCCACCGGGTAACTGGGGTCCCTGATCCTTTGACCCAGGCTCCGGGGGAAGCCCGGGAGGAGGGAATAGAATGGAGATGGGGTGGGGGAGAGTTATCGCGATACTTCCCATTGCCAGCGGAGGGGTCTGACCGACTGGCCCCCTCTTCTCCTGGGGAGCCGGACCGCCCGCTCCCTGCCCTGGCCCTCTTGCCTCTAGCTCTTGAGGGGGTGGGACCTCTCGGCCAGCAGACCCCCCCCCCGCCCCTCCAGTCTCCACAGTGGGCCCAGGCATGCCTCTCCCCCTCCCCCACTGCCCCCATCTGCCCAGAATTGCTCCGGACGGCTTGAGGTGGGGAAGGAAGAGGCCTGGGGGTGGTGAATTTGCCTGTAAATATTGTGGAAGTGTTATTCCGCGCTTCTCCCTGGTCTTTTGTCTCTTAGAGTAACCCCTCTCCCCGTACATATATATGCCTCAGTCTCTCCTGGACTCCCTGTCGCTTGAGGGGGAAGGGGGGGTTGGTCTCCGGGTTGTCTCCTGCTCTGTTCTGATGCCTCCTTCTCTGGGCCTCTTGCAGTTTGTATCTGTTGCTGAAACTCTAATTTCTCTTCCGCCCGTCTCCACTCTGTTCCAAGGTGTTAGTACTTGGAGAAGGAGCATAAAGCCAGCTCTGTTGCAGCTTTTGGGTAGGGAGGTTTTCCCAGGGGTTCCCTGGTTTGGAGTTGGGGGTTGAGGTCTTAGAGCTGTCTCTGGAAGGAGGCCGGGAAACAGACCCAAGGTGAGACCTTGGACGCAGGATCTGGACCCTGTGTAGCTTGAGTGGGTTTCAAGTTGAAGTATTTGCGGGTGGGCAGGAAGGGGGGGGTGCTCTCTGCTGCCCCTGGCCTTGCGGGAGAGATGTTGTTTGATGGAGCTGTTGCCATGGGAATGGAGAGAGCCTGAGCAGGAAGAGGCTACATCTTTGTGCAGGTCAGATGCCCACCCTGCTCCTCCAGCCTCTGGCCCCCAGAGTGGAGGTTGGGAGCTGCACTGCCTTTGTTGCTAGAAGACTTATGTTATAATTTACCCTGAGTGGACCAGGGATGCACAAAAGGTTAGTGTGTATTTGCAGCTCTGGTTTCAGGCGGGCATGTCAGACTGTGTACTTCTGGGGTGGGTGGGGGTGGCTTGTGCATCTGGCAAGTGTGGGCCTGGCTTTGGTCTGGCCGTATGTGTGATGGGGTGTGTCTGGCCTGGTATGTATATGTGTGTGTGTCTGGCTAAGTGTCTGTCTGGCCTTGTGTGTTGTGTGAGAGAGATGGAGGGGGTGTGTCTGGCTTTGTGTGCATCTGTGTGTATTCGGCAGTGTGTAGCTCTGTGTGTATATTTTGGGTTTTTGTCTTTGTTTGCTCTTAGGAAGCTCAGAGGGGGAAAGGCAGAGAGGGGACATTAAGCCCAGTTTCAGGAGACTAGAGGATGTTTCGATGCGGCTGGCGGCAGGGGCAGGTCCCAGGGTCAAGGATCAGGGAACACAGAGAGGTTGACATTGTCCCCAGGCAGCCCCCTATACTCCCCCTCCACACACAAATACACGGAGCTCGTGCAGTTGGACCCACACAGCCAGGAGAGGAATGGACCTAGTATATTCCATGAAGCCTCAGTTTTCCTACCTGTTCCATGGAAGTGGGGTGAGGGGATTAGTTTCTGCCCCTCTATCTACTTCAAAGTGAGAATGTGTTCTGAAGGTCATGTTTGGGCCAGACTCTGTCCCCTCCCAGAAGGCTCACTGAGTTGTCTTCTAGGGAGCCTGGAGTCCCACTTTCTACCTGCCTGGATGGAGTTGGGCCAGGCTTATTGATTTCTTAAATGAGTGGGGAGCCTGGCCTGGGTGCCAGTGTGTAAAGAGCACTGGAATGGGAGTCAGGCAGTTTCTATTCTAGGACTGCCACTTTGTTACTGGGTGACCTTAGGTGAATTTCTTCATCTGGAGAATGAAAGGGTTGGACAAGATCCTTTCTTTCTTTCTTTTTTTAAGATTTTATTTATTTATTTGAGTGAGAGATAGCACAAGCAGGGGAAGGGGCAGAGGGAGAGGGACAAGCAGACTCCCTGCAGGGCTTGAGCCCAGGACCCTGAGATCATGACCTGAGCCCAAGTCAGATGCTTAAGTCGTGAAGTCAGCTGAGCCACCCAAGTACCTACCTACCTTCCTTCCTTCCTTCCTTCTTTTTTAAGATTTATGTATTCATTATTTTAGAGAGAGAGAGAGAGAGCAGGGGTGGGTGTAGGGGGAGGAGCAGAGGGAAAGGAAGAGAGAATCTCAAGCAGACTCCAAGCTGAGCATGGAGCCCAACATGGGGCTCCATCTCACCACCCCAAGATCATGACCTGAGCTGAAATCAGGATTTGGACGCTGAACCCACTGAGCCACCCAGGAGCCCCTGGACAAGGGGCTTTCTAAGATCCCTTCTACTTCTGCAATTCTAGGTGTTCGGATGTGACCTTGAGTGACTTTTCCCAAGGCCTGGTGATTTTCTAGTGGGGGAGTGGGGCTGATTTCATGTGGAGGAAAGGCAGAGCAGAGAATGCTGTCTGGGGGCATCTGAAGGAGCAGGGACCTCTGGGTTATCAGAGACAGGCTATTTCGGCAGAGGAAAATGAAGAACAAAACAAAACAAAACCTGACAGTGGGAGAGGCTTAAATTGCGGGGAGCGTCCAAAAAAGACCGGCTAGAACAGAGAGATGGGGGTGGTCTCTAATTAGTAGGGGCTTTGAGGACGGGCAAAGACAAGTGCCAGGCTTGAAAGGCCAGGAGGAGCGGGTGCCTGGGTGGCTCAGTTGGTTAAGCGACTGCCTTCGGCTCAGGTCATGATCCTGGAGTCCCGGGATCGAGTCCCGCATCGGGCTCCCTGCTCGGCAGGGAGTCTGCTTCTCCCTCTGACCCTCTTCCCTCTTGTGCTCTCTATCTCTCATTCTCTCTCTCTCAAATAAATAAATAAAATCTTTAAAAAAAAAAAAAAAAGGCCAGGAGGAGCTGGGATTGGGTGCTGGGTGCTGACCCAAGGTCCTTTGCTGCCACTGTAGGCCAGACCTGGATCCCCAGGGGCCAGGAACATGGGCTGCCCAGTGATCATGCTCTTGCAAGGACAGTGGTTTGGGGACAAAAGGTGTTAAAGGACTTGGCTGCAGTTGGGGAGGGGGACAGTGCTCAGGTCCCTGTGGTGATATCCTTGGGAGTGACCTGGTAAAGCCCCAGGGCTCCCCAGAAGCCACTTCCAAATGGCCCATGGCCTCTTCACGGATTTTTGTCTTTCTCCCTCGGGCTGTTTCCCATCTCCCAACCTCTTGGTTGGGAGGCTGGGGGCCGCCCTCTGTGGGACAGGCACCCCTCTCGTAGAGTGATGACAGCTGGAGGTCCAGCCACCCGTCACCCCTCTCCCCTCTCCTTCCCACAACACACCGGTCAGTTGCAGCTGGGGAATTGGGTGTCAGGTGTAGGGCCCTGAGGCCTGGGGTGGTGGTGGGGGGGTGTGGGGTGCGAGGTGGGGGAGCTGAGCTCCTGTTTACAGTTGTTCTTGGCACCTGCTGGTAGGGCCCTGCAGGTAACCATGGCAATTAGGTGAGGAGCCAATCAGTACTTCTCCCCACCCCCAGCCCCAGAGGTGGCAGTGTGAGGCCCCTGGGGATGAGGCGGGGGGAGAGGGAGTGCCGCAAGGGGGCCTGTTCTTACGCCAGAGAAGGAGGAATATTTCATTCACTAAGTACCACAGCTCCTTCCTTTACCCCTGCATCTAGAAGGGATAATCTCCATCTGAGTTCTCACACATGCTAAGGGAAGTGAAAGGGTAAAGGTCACGGCCACTTGCCTGGGAACTCGTGTGTGTGTGTGTGTGTGTGTGTGTGTGTGTGTGTGTGTGTGTGTGTGTGTAGGCCACAGTCAGGAACTGGATAGGAGTTCTTAAGAGAAAGTGTCTTGTTTCAAAAAACACAGCCAGTGTGTGAATGAGGTGACTTGGGCAGGGGAAGCGCCTGTGTGTGTGTGTGTGTGTGTACCCATGTGTGTGCGTGTGAGCAGGAGAGACGGGGGTGTGAGATGCACCAGTGGCAACCTGAACACTCAGCATCACCCAGAACGTGCCGTTCCTGGCTGTGTGTGCACACATAGATTCAGCTGGACCCGAACAGGGGTCCCAGACGTCACGGCCACATCCCATGGATATTACACACACTCAGCGAGACAGCCACTTGGAGTTTGCTCTCTCCTCTGGATGGTTGTAATAATATTTGGGCATCTTGCCAGGGAGAGGGTTACTATGGAAACGAGCAAACAGTGGAGTAGCGAGGATTGTGAAGGGGGAGCCCTTGCAGGGAGGGCTGGGGGCCGCCTTCTGTGGGACAGGCACCCCTCTCCTTCCTTAGGCCAGGCCTGCACTTCCCGGCTGCGGTGTCTCGCTGCCTCTTTGGGCTCACTTGATTCCCTCTGTCTGCCCTGCAGACTTGGTGTCTCTCCCACATGTGGCCTTTGTGTCTCTCCATCTCTTTCGGTCTCTGGCCAGCCTCTGTTGGCTGTTTGGGTCCTGGCCAAACTCATCCTGGGGTCTCTATAGAAACTGTTGATCCTGGCTGTGAATTTCTGGTCCTAGAAAACCCAGTGTGGTGGCTTTAGAAATCTTTCTGGAAAGGAGAGAAGGGTGTGTGTTGTGAAGGAGTCCTTGGGGCTTGGCCACCCTCCCGAGCCCCACCCCTTGGGCTTTTCCGCTGGGAAAGAGTGGGAGGAGGGGCTCCCTTTCTAGGTGCAGGTTTGATTTCTATACCAAGAAGTTAAGCACATCAGCCAACCCAGAGTTGGGCCTTGACTGACCTCCCCAGACCCTGCCAAGGCCTGGCTGGGTGCTCGGGGCTGCTGCGGAGAGAACTTTCTGCCCAGCCTTGGCAGGCATCTCTGAGAGCTTGGGGTCTGTCACTGGACAGCCTGTGGACAGGTCACAGCCCATGGAGACGGTGCCCACGTGGGGCAATCCCTGTGTGTGCGTGGGATCGGGGTCCTGGAATGTGTGTGGGATCCAGGGGACGTGTGCAGGGGGCTGTCCGGCCGGGAAAGGTGGCTAAGTCTTTTTTGCCCAGGCTCTTGGCCATGACCTGCCGGGGCCGGAGTCCAGCTGGGGCTGCGTGTTCCCCGCTGCGGGCATAGAAGAACCATCCTTAGTATTTCCTGTCTGAGCACCAGGCCTAGAACCTGCATGGCCAGCATGCAGTGGATTTCTGGGGAGCTGCTCTGGGGCCAGACTGGATGCAGAGCTAGGACAGGCAGTGGGGTGCTTCCTCTAAACTTAGGGCAGCCTATGCCCACGGTGTTTCCAGGGCTGCCTTCCTGGGAGAAGAGTGATGGGATGGAAGGAGGATCGGATAGAGTAGAAACACCGAGCCGGGGGCTTGCACCTGGGTAGAGGGGCATCGACGTTTCCTCAGCTCCTAGCACTCATTTGAGAGAATATGGATGGGGATCAGGGAAGTTTTTAAAAAAGTCTGTTCTGTCCCATTTTCCCGCCTCCCTATATCCTCTGGAGAGCTGGCCTAACTTCAGTCTTTGCTCCTGCCCTTGAGACGGAGGCTGACTTTGTCACTCAAGGTCGCATGAATCTCCAGAGCCCCCCACGCCCAGTGAACATTCAGAGGGGCCCGGCAGCGGCGGCCCCATGTGTGTCACCGGTCCGGCCTCAGAGGCAGAGAGAGCAAGGGCCGCGGGCCTGGGGACAGATACTGGGTGGTGTGGAGGGGACTGTGGGAGCGGCCGTCAGATCTCTGGGTTTCTGATTGCACTTTCCTTTCTCAGGGTGACGCCCCCCAGGCCCCCTGCCCCCCACCCCGGCATCATGCATCGGACCACACGGATCAAAATCACGGAGCTGAATCCGCACCTTATGTGTGCCCTCTGCGGGGGGTACTTCATCGACGCTACCACCATCGTGGAGTGCTTGCATTCCTGTGAGTTGGGTGGAGGGGCCCCTTCTCGGGGTGTGCAGTCTCTGCCCTGGTTGGAGGGGCACTGCTGCGGGGAGGGTTTGTGTCTGGTGGCGGTCCCTGGTCACAGAAGGACCATCCGGGGTGGGGAGGCTTGAGGGGGCAGCCCAGAGATCCGTCTCAGGTGTGAAAGCTCAGGTGTCTCCCAGAGTCCTTGGCCGCCGCTGAAGACACAGGTTGCCCCTGGCATGCACTCCGGCCTTGGCGGCAAGGGGGTCGAGGACCCTGGGAGGCGTCCTGTTAGGCTGCACTCCCTCAGACTTGGGGCTCACTCTCTGCTTGGTGCACGGTGCTGGTCCGACCCAGACACGCACACACTCCCTTGGGGACAGATCAGGGGCGATTGCCATCTGTGGGAAGCAGGACCCCGTTGAGCCTCTGAAGGGGCTGAGCTGTGAGGACAAGGTGGAGAGGAGGGGCAGCCTTTATGTGAGCAGAGGCCGCGGAGGCGTGCTGGTCGTGGATTATGAACGGGGCTCTGACTCTGCTTTCTTTCTCCACCCTCCCCCACAAGTCTGCAAAACCTGCATCGTGCGCTACCTGGAGACCAACAAGTACTGCCCCATGTGTGACGTGCAGGTCCATAAAACCAGGCCGCTGCTGAGCATCAGGTGGGCCTGGCGCTGTCCGTCCTGCTATGCCGGGCCTCTGTCCCTCAGCCCTCCTCGCTTCCCATCACCGCGACGGCTGGTCGGGGAGAGGCACAGGGTGTCAGCCCAGGGCCCTTCCCCTCCCTCTGTCTTGTATCCAGCTTGTCCAGGCTGAGAAATACCAGAGGGGTAAAGACCATGCTTATAGGGACCCTGACGCCTGGGCCCTGGATCAAGGAAGGGAGGTGGGAATGGGGGTTCCTGGCCGGGGAGATCAGGGTGAGGTGGTCGCGGATAGGACTCTTTATGTTTTTTTCCAGATCTGACAAAACCCTCCAAGACATCGTCTATAAATTGGTCCCTGGGCTTTTTAAAGGTACCCACCCACCCTTCGTCCTGACCCCCTCCCCTCGCTGCCCTGCCTGGCGCTCCATCCTCACCCTACCTCTCTCTCCCAGATGAGATGAAACGGCGGCGGGATTTCTATGCAGCGTACCCCCTGACTGAAGGTGAGTGTGTTCACCTGTCTGTTCGCGTGAGCGCGCACTGTGCTGGACGCACCGGGCTGCCCGTCTTGCACACGACATCCCAGCTCGCCACTGCCCCGGCCCACAGGATGGCTGGGGCTCACCCCGCCGAGCTCCAAGATCCCGGGGTCCTTGGCGGGCCTCCTTCCCCCATCCTAGCCAGCCTCTCAGAGCCCTTTCCTCCCGCAGCCCCCAACGGCTCCAATGAGGACCGCGGCGAGGTCCTGGAGCAGGAGAAGGGGGCTCTGAGCGACAATGAGATTGTCAGCCTCTCCATCGAGTTCTACGAAGGTGTCAGGCAAGTCTGACCCACTCCTGGTCTTTTGGGGTCCTAGGTTGGGTTGACCCTTTTTCCCACCCTGGCCCCCTTCCCCTAGGAAGAGAAGGTACCTCCGGGAGGGCCTCTGGATGTGTGCATTAGGGGATCCTGCCTGTTCCAGGGTCTCCCTAGCTTTGTTCTTTGTCCTCCACCAGGGACCGGGATGAAAAGAAGGGCCCTCTGGAGAATGGGGACGGGGACAAGGAGAAGGTGAGTGCTGGGGACCTGCTTAGGAGTGGGATGTGGGCTGGGGAAGAGGGCCTCAGATGGACCGCAGCCCTTGGGTGCCTCTCCCCCGGCAGACAGGGGTGCGATTCCTGCAGTGCCCAGCAGCCATGACCGTCATGCATCTCGCCAAGTTTCTTCGCAACAAGATGGATGTGCCCAGCAAGTACAAGGCGAGTCCCCGGGCCCTTTCAGAAACTTAAGTGTCTGTGTGTGGCTGTGTCTGACAATCTGTGCGTCCCAGCCATTGCTCTGAGCTGGCTGGGTGTCCTCAAGGGCCTGCATGGTTGTGTGATTGAGCTCGAGTAGAAGAATAGTTGAAACCAAGGTCAGGGTGGGGCAGTCTTCAGATGTTGATGAAGATGATCTGAAACCAGTGTGCAGAGGTCTATGGGACCAAGATGGAGGGTGGGTGTGTGTGCGAGTGTGCACACGCGCATGCTTACACGCTCAGAACTGTGGCAGAGGCATGTGTGCAAAAATACTGGGTCTTATCTGGGGCCATCTGGCTGAAGGAAGGCCAGTCTGAAATTCCAGCAGCGCTCTCGGACATTGCTTCTCAAATTTGAATGTGTCGGTGATTCTCTGAAGATCTTGTTAAAGCGCAGATTCTGATCAGTAGGTTTTGCTGTTCCCGCAAGCTCCCAGGTGCTGGCAATACTACTAGTCTGTGAACCACACTTTGGGTATCAAGGTTCTAGGACGGTGGATCCCAAACTTTGCTGCAGATCAGAATCACGCAAGGAGCTTTAAAACCCGATTTACGTCCTACCGATTAAATCAGAATCTCTGTTGAGATCCAAGCATTGGTATTTCTTTTAAAGCTCCCTGGGTCGTTCCACTGCAGCCTGGGTGAGAGTCAGTGCTCTGCGAGATCTTTCCCACCTGGGCTTTTTCTTTGCCCCCGTGATCTCTGGAGGACCTGCCAGAGATATAAGGGGACCCAGACAGCTACACGTGTGGATGGCTGCGGGCAGGGGTTATTAATGATCTGGGTGCTTTCTCTGGATCCTTTCCCGTCTGATGGTCAGGAGTTCTGTTGGGACAGGTCTGGGAGGGAAGTCAAACCCACCATGAAACCCCAGAGAAATAAGGGAACACCTGCTAGTCCCTCCTCACCAGTGTCCCACCGCCCACTCCTAGCTTAGAGCCGCATTGCCAAATGGCTAGAGCCTCGAACCTGACCGGGGTCATGGTGTCCTCCGTCTCCTCCTCCAGGTGGAGGTTCTCTATGAGGATGAACCACTGAAGGAGTACTACACCCTCATGGATATTGCCTACATCTATCCATGGCGGCGGGTGAGCTGAACAGGGCGGAGCCGGGCAAGGACAGGGCTGGGAGGGGAGCCGTGCAGGGTCTGGCGTCGGTCTGTGGCCACAGTGACCACACAGTGACCAGTAATCCCCCTTTGCGCCTCGTCCCATGAGCTGGGCGTGGCCAGGGTGGCCTGCCACACCAGGCCAGCCTCCAGGCCATCTTTTGATGATGACCTGCCACACTCTGAAGTAGAAGAGGATCCTTTGGCAGATGACGTGCCCTGATTTGGGTCAAAAAGGAGGGCCGGGTGGCTGTTGGGGAGCAACTGTTGCTCCCTGCTTTTCAGCCTCCCTCTCTCCTCTCCATCCTCTGGCCTTGCACGTTCTTTCTGCCTCTCCGGGTCTTTGTGTGCCCCCTGTATCTCTGGCCTTGCTCGGTCAGTCTTGCTTTGCCTGTCCCCTTCTCTCCAAGGCCTGGACCCCTTTCTGCCTGTTTGGGCACCGTGGGGCGAGGGTTGGGTAGCTGCCTGGTTAGCCTCCTTCTCCTGACACCCTCCCCTTCCCTGCCTCTCTCTGCCCCCTCTCCCGGCAGAATGGCCCTCTCCCCCTCAAGTATCGGGTCCAGCCGGCCTGCAAGCGGCTCACCTTGCCTACAGCGCCCACCCCCTCGGAGGGCACCAACACCAGCGGGGCGTCTGAGTGTGAGTCAGTCAGCGACAAGGCTCCCAGCCCTGCCACCCTGCCGGCCACCTCCTCCTCCCTGCCCAGCCCAGCCACCCCTTGCCATGGCTCTCCCAGCTCCCACGGGCCCCCGGCCACCCACCCTACCTCCCCCACTCCCCCTGCGACAGCCAGTGGGACCACCACAGCTGCCAACGGGGGTACCTCGAACTGCCTGCAGACACCATCTTCCACCAGCAGGGGGCGCAAGATGACTGTCAACGGAGCTCCTGTGCCCCCCTTAACTTGAGGAAAGGGACCCTCTCCCTCCTTTTCCAGCCATGCCTCTCCACCCCTCCACTTTTTCTGGGCCCCTTTTCCACCTCTTCTACTTTCCCCAGCTCCTCCCGCCTTAGGGGTGGGGGGTGGGTTTTATAAATAAATCTATATATATATGTACATAGGAAAAACCAAATATACATACTTATTTTCTATGGACCAACCAGATTAATTTAAATGCCACAGGAAACAAACTTTATGTGTGTGTGTATGTGTGGGGGGTGGAGTGTTCATTTTTAGGAGGTCTTGTGTAATTTGCCCTGCTCTCATTTTGGGGGTGCCTGGAGGTGGACTGGAGGGGCCACCTGAGGCTCAGTAAAGCTCCGCTCCATCCTCCTTCCGTTTCCCAAGGCAGATGGGGTGTTCCGGGAGCCCTACCAGCCCCCAAAGCTTTAGGCACAACTCCAGCTGGCCGTGTATGGGGTCTGCCCTCTCTGCCCCCATCTCGGCTGCTGTCCCGCCCCTGCCAGTGCCCCCTGCCCCCATTGTTGAATGTCCAGAGAATCGCTAAGACAGTGCCTTTTACAAATGCAGTTTATCCCCTGGTTCTGAGGATTGAGTGGGTGGTAAAGATGCATCTCCCTTACCTCCTCTTCTTGCAGTGGAAACTTTGTGCAAAGAATAGATAGTTCTGCCCCCCCCCCCACTCCCCCACCCCTATGTGTGTGGCCTTTGCATCATTTATCTTGTGGAAGAGAAGATTCAGGGCACGGGAGGCCTCAGCCCTTGAAATTCCACTGTGGCTTTAGCAGGGCGAACGCTTGGCCTGGTTCTGCCCCGAGCCCGCAGCCCCGACAGGCAAGGCTGGTTTTGGCGAAGTCCCACCTGGGGGCCTGGAGTGCAGGGGAGAGGTGGAGTGGGGTTCATCTCAAACACAGATCCCAGATTGTGCCAAAGGCCAACAGCCCCCCAGTCCCCTCCCCACCCCCAGCCGAGGCTGAGTCAGGACAGAGCCACAGAGGCATCGAAAAGCACAAGAAGATGGAGACCTTTAAGCTCTGACCTTGGCTCCATCCCGAGAAGTCAGTGGACGGCCCCCCGAAGGGCGGACCCCAGCAGATCCCTGCCCACCTGTCTTTCCTCCAATGTACATAGATCAGATCGGGGAGGAGATGAGGAGGCAAGATTCCCTTGCAACCTAGGTGTTTGGGGTCGGGAGCCCCCCCATCAGGTTTGTCTGTGTTTGCACCTCTCCCGTGTCTGAGGTGCTGTGACTGTACCCCCTCCTGCCCTGGGACATTTGTATCTCCCGGCTTTGTAATAAATGCTGCATACTCTCCGGAAGCTGTGGTTCTTCAGGGGACAGGGGACGGGTGGGCGAGGCCTTTGGCCGCCGCCGCCTCATGTCTCTGGGCTTGGCCTGTCTTGGGAGGCCCCATATGGAATGAACGTGAACTGCCCCCTCCCTGCGGCGGGTCAGACGCCCCATCCCAGGTTAGGACCCTGAGCGGGGGTAGGCCGTGTGCCCCCCACCAATGACCACAAGAGCACCGCACTGGGTGGGCACAGTGTTTAATACCACCTTCACCAGCAGGTGATGAGCCAGGGGTGTGTTCCCTGGCTGCCCGAGAGACCTCAGGTATTGGGAGCAAGCCCTTCACAAGCCAGCACTGAGGACTGCGGTCCCTGGGCGGTCCCTTCTTGGGCTCAGCACTCCCGTTTCCTTCCCCACAAATGGGGTGTCTGCCAGAGGCCTGGGGCTAGGCGGCAGCCAGCTCCTCAGAGTGGGGAGCCCACTTCTGCCTTCTGCACCCGCTCACTCCGGTGGGTGCCGTCACAGTACGGGGCCTTCTGGGTGGCCTTGCAGGTGCAGAGGGCCACTGTGCGGGTCTCCTGGGCCTTGAACTTGAGTGGGGACAGGCCAGTGCGTTGGAAGAAGTGGGAGCCGTCACAGAAGGGCTGGTGAGGGAAACAGAGACGTTAGAGACCCAGCCCCACGTGCTGGGGTGGGGCAGGTCTGGAAGGAAGGGCACGGGCACGGGCACGCTGTGTCTAGGGCTCAGGCTCCTGAGTTGACCGCCGGGGTGCCGTCGTTGACCTCTCTCATCTGAGGGGTGAGAGGAAAGCCGTGCCAAGGAAATGGAATAAATAGTGGTTCTTAGGCACTTTGCCCACTTCAGTAAGAGGCTTTACAATATTTGTCTCTGGGGGCCCCAGAAGACTGGGATACGGGGGCAGAATTTTCAAGGTGAAGTGGGACTTTTGGTATCAGCAATGTTTACACTGATAGTTTTTTTGTTTTGTTCTTTCTTAATGTCTCTGAGTCTCCACTGGCTCATAAATTCATTTCCTTCCACATTTTCTCAGGGTAAAAACTTCTCTGCGTGGGAGAGAACCTACATGCCTCACAGTGCTTTGCAACTGGGGTATCCATTTTGTTTGGCTCCGGGGAAACAAGTGGGCATGTTACGGGAAGTGGATGTGGCAGGGAGGAAGGGTAAACCAGCTGTCTGGTGCAGGAGAACATTCCCCATACTCCCTGGAAGCTGTTCCAGCAGAGACTGGGTCATGGAAACTGGCCTTGACTTGCTAGTTAGCGGCAGAGCTGGAGCCGGGGCCTCTTGCCCTTGAGGTCAGGGCAGGGTGGGAGGAGAGATGAGAGAAGTCCGCAAATAAAACCCAGCAACCTGCCCCAGAGGGCAGAAGGCAGGAAGGCAGAGGGCCAGCCTGCATGCGCTAGGCCACACGGCGGAGGACACTCCCCTAGTGCTGCCGCGCCCTCGGGCCGCACTGCGCCCAGCCAAGTCCACAGCCAAGTCCACAGCCAAGTCCACGGCAAAGCAGGACTTGGGACCTGGGCTGTCAACACGGCTTCGAGGCACACAGTTCAGAGCCCAGCTCAGGAAGGAAAGAGGCCTAGGAGGCTGGGCAAATGGGTCAGGTTCCTGCTGGAAGGAAGGCTCCTGGGGCGGAAGGGAGAGGGAGATGGGAGCAGGTAGCGGCAGGGAACCAGGGAACCACCCTCAGCCGAGAGAGAGGGAGGGGCTGCAGGAGACAAGGGAGAGGGGCGCTTGGGAGCAGGAGCGCCAGCGGGCGTTCCAGTGTTGGGGTCCAAGGCCTGGGAACCTCTGGCTCGGGTGCTTCCTGGAAGGAGGGAGAGAAGAGGGGAAAGAGACACCCGGCCCCTGGGTGCTTAGAGCAGGGACTCCAGGCCGAGGGTCCAAGGAGGGCGCGCCGGAAGCGGTGGGCACGACCCTGGGCTCCAGCGGCCTGGCCGTGAGACTGAGTTTCTGTCTCCCTGGCCTCATCTCAAAGGGTGGATACAGAGAATAGGGAGCTCAGGGCTGTGGGTGTTCTTCACCCCCAACCTCCCTTTGTTGTCCTTCAGGTATGTGTGGGGAAAGAGGAGGGTCTCGGGCAGGAGCTCCCAGGAGAGACCTACTGTCCCAACCAGGGGTGTGCTATGTTAATGAGACGTGGGGTAGGGGGCTCTTACCTGCTTCTTGCTGCGGCCACACACACACCATCTGTAGGTTTTCCCAGCTACCAACTCCACCTTGATGGGAGTTTTCAGGGCCACCACAGACTTGGCTGGGGTTTTAGGGAACCATCGGATCTGTGGCATGGGGAGACGAAGGGCTTGGGGTCAGCCCATGCCCTGGAAGCACTTTCCTGCCTATGGCCTTGTCCAGATTCCCAGTGGCCCTGGCCTATGGCAATCTTCCTCTGCAGAGGCAGGATGCCACCCCACAAGGACATTCCCCAGGACACCATAAGGACCCTGAGCTTCAGACAGGGAAGAGATTTCAAGCCCACGCAGGCCCTCTGGTTTCTGCGCCCAGCGGCCTCCCTTTCAAACCTGGACTCCCACCTGGGGGCCAGGAAGGGGAGGGCCAGGATCCTGCCAGCCTAAGTGGGGTCACCTGCCCCTGGCGCTGTGTTTATCAGGCACTGCTCTTCCCAGCGGAGAAGCCTGGCTCCCTGCCCTGGGCACTCTGGTGACCCCACCTCCCCGGAGCCATCATGAAGGGGACTACAGGCAGGGGCCTCCTGACACTGGAGTCTGGGAAGTAGGGCTGACCCCTTCTGGTTGGTTCTCTGGTTTCTACCTTTGGCGTCTCTGGGCCTGGGGGACTTGGGCGGAGGGAAGGGGAAATGGGGTACTCACCAGCCAGGAGGAGATGTCCCGCCTCTGGTTCAGCTTCTGAAAGGTACTCAGGCATGACTAGACGGTGGTTTGGAAGCAGGGTGGGGGGAAAGAAAGTCAGTGGAAAGCGTTGGGTTGCCAGAGGGAAGTCATCTGGAAGGGACGAGACGCCAGGGATGCGGGGCGTAGGAGAAACAAGACGGTAAGAAAAAGGGGTCACAAGACAGGAAGTGGAGGTGCTGGGGGCTGCTGGCTGCACCCGGCCGGCGCTCAGAGAGTGAGGGCTGCAAGGCACCAGGCGAAGTGGGAGTTGGGGACGCTCAGCAGAGAGGCAGCGGGGACGGGGCGGGGGCGGGGCAGGCGGCCGGCGGCGCGGGGTCGGGGATACTCACCCAGGCCGCAGAGCGCAGGGGCGCCCCCACGCCGCCGCCCATGCCGCCGCCCACGCCGGTCCCCGCAGCTGCGCTGCGCCGGCTCCGCCCCGCGCCCGGGTCACCTCCCGCCCCCGCCCAACCGGCCGGCCCAGCCCCGCGGCGGCCCGGAAGACGCCGCGGGGCTCCGCGCGGATGGGGCCCGGGGCCTGCACCGTCCGGGGTGCCTCCTCCCTCCCCGCGCCGCCGCCGGAAGCCCGGCCGGCCCCCGCCCCCTGCAGCCTCCTCGCCCCCCCCCCCGGGGGATGGTTGCGGAGGGGGCGCCCGCTCCGGGAGCATCGCCCCGGCGCTCGCGGCCGGCGCCTCCCGGTGTGGGCGGGGACCTCCCGGGAGCCCGCGGCTCAGGCGGAGGCTAAGGCCGCGTCCCCGGGAGTGCCGTGCGGCTCCCGCTCAGGGCCCAGGGAGCTTGCTTTTGCAACAGATTCCCGCCTGGCCCGGGCGTACGCATTACCGCCTTGTGGGTGGGCACAGGTATCTGAGTTTTCAGCCGGAACCTGGTTGTCTTGCGCGTACTGGTCTGTGAACTACTATTCTAAGTGCTTAAAGAAGTGTAACAGGCCACCCCTCCCCCCATCCCCTCCCAAGGCTCCCACCGTTGGCACTCCCCTCCCTTTCCCTTCAGTAAAGCCAGACAAAGCAGGGGTCTTTGGATTTTTTTTTTTTTTGTAAAACATTCTTTTATTAAAAGAACAAGTGCTGTTTATGAACTGCCCTTCGTACAAATAACATCCGTTATACAAAGATACAAGATCCGGGTTATGCACAATTCCAGGCTTGGAAGTGAGAGGAGGGGGGCATTGCCTTTTGGGCTGAGGCTATAAAGGAGGTTCTAGAAAGAATGTAAAAGGAGCCCCTGGGTTTGCAACTCTGGCTTCCCCTCCCTGCTCCCCTAGGAAGGGTCTGCTACATTGAGACAGGCTGGGATGGACAGGGGGAAAACGGGGCTGGGAGTCAGGGTTTGGGTCTCCAGTCCTGCCACCTGAGTCCCAAGTTGGGCTGGAGGAAATGAACAAAGGGCAATGAAGGCACCCCCCAGTCCCCAACTTTTCAGTAGATCAAGTCAAAGTGGTCGGGAGCTGGACACACTTTGAATCCGGATTGATGTGACTGGAAGGAGCCAGGGTGTTGTGCCCCACTTCCTCCAGATTCCCCACTGAAGTGACCTTAAGCCGTCCGGGCACCTCTGCTCATTGAGATAAAGAGAATTGGGAGCAAGCCGCCTACTCCTAACTTGGGCCCACCACACACCAAGGAAGATGCTGGAGGTTGGCAAGGGGAGCCCGTGCCTTTGAACAGTTGTCTGCATTTCCAGTTCGGGGAAAGGGAAGCATGAGGTCCCCCTTTCTCAGAGCTGGCCCCTGGCTCTGGCTCCCCTCATTTGTCTAGGCCCTTCCCTGGAGCCCTTCCCTAGAACTCAGTAACAGGAATGGGTGGGGCGCTCTCAGCCTCAAGGTTAGGGCACCTGGAGGAAGCGGTAGACCCAGGAGCCTGAGGGGAAAGACACACACAAATAGGAAAAACTCAAAAAAAAAAAAAAAAAAAGCAATCTTTAAAGTGTCATTGTCTATGGAGAGGATCCATCAGCTCTGAGCTAAGACAATCAGTGCTACACAGATACCCTCCCACCCCAGGGCCCAGCCCAGCACTCACACACAGGGACAGACAGCCAGCCACATGGAGGTGGTGCAGTGGGGGGCGAGAGAGCCCAGGACCAGGAGGCCAGGGTCCTGAGGGCTGGTCCTGGCTCTGCCCCAAGCCCCTGCCC